TGTGCAAAAAAAAGCCAACGAAAAAAGCCTACACTTTGTGAGTTAAGTGCGACCTTGCATGGTACAAACCCGGCTTGTTTTAACAGCATTTAATAATATGCCAGTAATTGCAAGTTCACCAATATGTTTCATCTCTAGATTACCTAATCCACGAGTTTGGCTATAGGTCTCCTTTGATTTGTTTCAAACTCACCTCAGTCAAAGACAGGTTGCATGATCCCATGAAGTCGCCTCTTTCATCTTTGATCATCTTAATAGCATTTGTATCTTTGTCCAGGACAACAAACGACAACGTTGTCTAGGAAAACACAAAACACGTCATGACGCGGTTCATCAGTAAGAGCAAGGCACGTTTGCTTCCCTAGAGTAGATCACAAGTAACTTCAAACCTGGGTAAAATCAGCAACAAGTATTTCCACCATGGTGTCCCATACAGGACTAAGAGTTCCCTTCACGGCCTCCCCGCGCTTGGCCTAAAATGAACAAACGAATAATTAACAATTATTGGACGAAGTTGAGCAAACTATCGTGATTAGTCATAAAAATTACAATTTCCTCGATTGTGATTGGTTTAAAAAACTCCTATTTTCCACTAATTCACTTGCCAAGTTGTTATCGGACAGTTCAATAAGCCAATCACATTCAAAGTTGTAGTTTAAATCAACCAATCACATTCAAAGTTGTAGTTACGTGCGTGCGCGCGCTTGATTTGGGTTTTTGGCGCCTAATTGCCGGTAGGAGGCGCGGTGGCCTTAGAATGTTTACATCTCCTTTGTAGGTATTTTAATTCAAATGTTCCCCTTCTGTCATAACTTGGCTATTGTTCTTTTCTCGGAAATTGTCGTTTTTATGATTAATTGGTAATAAGACTCAGTGTCGTCCAATTCGGACTGTAAACATACTCGTGATAAACAAATCGGACTCCCGCTGTGCGGTCGTCCGATTTTGTTATCACTCTTATGATAACAGATCGAATTGCACTCCACTCAGTCCTATTACCATTACTTGTCTTGCAGATCAATTATTTGCCGAAGCCGAGGAATTGATCGGCGATACACTGACAAATAACGATATTTTGTGATAACCGAGTTCAATAATTGTTTTATCATTCGATCACCAAACTTTGTTTTCTTATTTAAATCACTCTCTGACGGCTCAGAGGAGCAATCTGCTATTTTTCACCAGAGATCATGGTTACAATTACGCACGAGCAGAATATTATTTGCAGCAAAACACATTCAGACGGTACTACGCATGAGCAGACCATTATTTGTAGGCAGCTATTTGCAGGTCATGTGGTTGGCTCTCAGCCAATGAAAAGGAAGAAAAAAATGCATCGAATGATAAGGTCATAAGACATTTGTTTGTGGCGTGGTACAGAAGGAAAGCCATACATTTCTAGCCTGTCTTCACCAAATGGTGTCTTTTTAAAATTTAATTCAAATTCTCAATCCAGCCGGTATTAATAAAGTAAATTGGTTGTCGGTAGTCTCGAGTTCAACTCCTCGGTCACGCTTTGTAAATAGCAAACTGGTCTGCTTCCCACCATTTGAAATTCTTAAACAGATTATGTTTTATTTGTAATATTTATTTATTTTATAATAACTTATTGGCCTACGATGTATGTCAAACTGTCGATTTCATGTAAAACGCGTATTTTGAAATCGCTCTCAACTGGAAATTTTGAAAACGGAGATGTTTTAACTCCTTTCTGGTGGCCCCATGATATGAGGAATGTCATGTCGCACGTGCATTCACTGGCGGATAGGAACGATAGGAAAACGGAAAGCTTTTGAAATATGTTCCCAAAATTTTGATTTTAACTTGTAGTTGGGGGCTTAGGATTAAACAGCGATAAACCTTGCGTACCTGTCTGCTGTTTTCATATATAACGCAGTAGGGATCACTGAGTCCGTGTTTGTCCATGGGCACTAAGCTGTGACCGGTGTGAGCACACACGAGGAGCACACCTGAAACTAAAGGCGGGCATCACAAAAAGAAATCTTTTACAATGGTAACTTCGCCATCACTCGGCCACGGAAACCCATCCAACTACTCAAGTCTTCAAAAGTATAAATATTAATTGAAAAAGTGCCAAAAAGTCAATTGCAGTCGAACCCCTATTAAGCGGCCACCTATTAAACGGCCACCCCTATTAGGCGGCCAGCAATCAAAGTCCCGATGAGGTTTTTAGCATTGTTTTTACCTCTATTAGGGCCGATTTACACGGTACGACTTTGTCACATGCGACAAGCTTACGACAGGCCTACGATATGACTTAGGACCATTTACACGCGCTCGACTTTTTCACTTCCAAATTAAATACGCAAAAGTTTGCTCCTGGATTTTCGGAGCGAAAGTTCTAACAAACAGTAAAAAAATATTTTAGCTGTCCTGCGCTTTGCAAAAACTTTCTAAAGAGATGTTTTTCGCTTTAATCCGTCCAGTACTTTTCGAGAAACGTCTTCATGTGAATCAGTCGACAACAAGTTCGTCCGCCATTTTGACGCAAGAACACTTCACCTCGTCCCCCACTCAGTAGAAATTTGTCTCAAAATACGTCATTTTCTATCGACTTCGGCTACGATTGTCGCAGCGTTTTAAAACATGTTTTAAAATCCTATGGCATTTTTTTGACGTACACAGTAGTCGTAAGCGAGTTGTAGGTTTGATTTACACGAAACAACTCATGTCGTAGGCCTGTCGTACGCGTGTCGCACACGACAAAGTCGTACCGTGTAAAATCAGCCCTAAAGCCAGCCCCTTTTAAGCGGCCACTCTCCATTTCCCTCAGGGTGGCCGTTTAAGGACGTTCGCACGAAAATTTTCCAACATTGATTTTTTTCTTAGACTTTTACCACTGTGAGATTATGAGTTAGATATGTCAGAAATGTAAAAAAAAAAAAAAAAAAAAATTGAGGGGTCACCGACTTCGTTTTGGAGAGAACATGCCCGGAAGAACAACCTAAATCTGAAAATATTGGGCTTCGTTAATAGTGGACCTATTAAGTAAATTAAGTCAACTGGTGAGGTTCCTTAAAGAACAAGTTCGCATTTAGCGACCATAGTTTCACGCGCCTTGCAGCCGCAAGATGGCAGAATTTGATGTCCCGTGGACAGAAATCTTGAATTTCTTTTAACTTCCCACATTATGCTTTTTGTTCATTTTTGGACAATGTGGAGGTAATTGTAAATAAAATCTGTTTCTGGAAAGAAAAATAGGGGTCACCGAACGTCCAAGATCATTAAATCCAGGCAAAGCTATAACAGTGGCCATCTGCCCTATCATTGTTCATTTTATTACTTAGTGCGCGCGCTCATGCATGATGTGCGTGTGAATTTGAGTGCGCAGTATGAATGCACAGAAACAATCCACCATAAGAAAAAAGATGGCGGCTATACATTTTACCACAATGCCTCGCGAACCTAACACAGCCCAAAAGGCACAAAGAAAGCCTTATAATTACAATATTTGTCCCTGTACTAAGGATATTAAGTAGCCTAGGTTTGAAGATTTTATGACGTTTCTGTACGTTTTTATGAACGTTGTTTAGGTTTTCGTGCGCTAAGAACTATGGGTAAATGTAACATTCCCATCTTTTTTCCTACGGAGGATTAGCGCGAACGTCCTTAATGGGGTTGAACTGTATTTAGCAGACTTTTCGGGTCTGGCACTTCTTCAGTGTCTTATTCCTCGTGTCCAATCAGAAATTGCAAGACCATTGCAAAAGCTATCAGCTATTATCATCAGGATACGTCGTGTTGCTTAGCAACATCCCAACTGAAAAATGGCGGACTCTGATTCCTTGAGATGTTTATCTTATCAGTATATTTTTCCAGGACTGTCACCAAGCAATGTTAATTCTTACAATCCTCATTAGAGCTACTGCATGTCAAGATGCTACAAAAAAATTGCTTCCTGTCGGCACACGGTATTGTAATGATGTAGTCTGACATTTCACGCTGTTAGAATAGGAACTGAATTTAAATTTTATCTCGCGCTTGCATTTATAAATTAGTTCACACTAAATTCCACTGAGGCTAGGACTGCACTGCCTGTAAGTGTGGAGTTATGAATTTAAAATATATTCACCTTCATTCGGGTGCAAATTTCGTAGTCTGCTGGTGTAATTTCTGCTGAACTCTTCATGTGTTATTGTGTGGCAAACATCAATCACTGGTAGAGATGTGTATTCCATTTGCACCGTCAGGGAAGCAGGTTTGAAAGATGATTTCTCCAACACTTTTTCACTAGATAAAAGACAACAAAGAATGATCACACCCATGTTACCTCGCTATCAACGACATATATTCTTCCATCATGATCACCACACTGGTCAGAGGAATAAAGTGAAGTACTGTCTTGCTTAGAAGTTCAGTTTACTTTTAGCCAGTAATTCGACGCTTCTCGGTGCTGTCATTAATCTCCCACGAAAAGGACGCCTGTGATTCATGCTGAGGATGTCTTAACTGATGTGAACAATCAAACTCCTTGTAGTATTGCCATTACCCAAGCAGGAACAATGCAAGGAGTGGCTTTCTATTGTTTGTATAAAACTAAACACGCAATGATCAAACAGCTTGTCACTGCACCAGCAGGTACGGTTTAAACTACTCAGTGTGCTTGTAACCGGTCGAAAGCGCGGGAAATGTCTCGTGAGTCACTTCACGATTGGTTAGGTTGCCACCGCCTGATTGGCCGAAAATACACAATCCTCATTCTGACTGGTTAATCAAGTGATCGTGCTGCAACACATCAGTCGTTGTTTACTTACTGTAGAGGATTACTCTCCAAGCAAAAATTCGAAAGCAGCAGCACATGCTCAGCCACAGTGTACTTGGTGCCGAGTTTTCGTCTTCCTTTGAGCTTGATTACAAGCTGAAAACAATTGGCAGCATTTGTCATTTGTGTAAGCGCGTGCTCAGAGGCAGAATGTCAACCGAACAAGGTAGTACTTATAAGCTGAACAAGACAAGATTTTGGCAAGACTGAGGATAGTCGATATAATGTCACTTCAAAAGACAAAAACTGCAACACTATTTTAACTTCTTTAACCGGCTAAACGCGACAGCGGTTTGCGATTTCTAATAATCTTAGTTTAGTTTAGTTTAGCTTCTCTCCGATGCTTTTTCAAACGTTTCTTGTAGCTAACCTTAGCATGTGGAAGATGGGTAATTAGACTTGCTGACTGTGGTCAATAATCAATAACACATGCATGTATAATTTATTTTTTTCTCCACACTCCCCCACATTTACCTACACGACCTGTATCTCATTAAACCAGTTCTTCCATCCTTATCTTATTAACTCAAAGCAGATGAATTCATGAATAAATTGATCTATTCATCCGAGGTATACTACTTAAATCATGGAAAATATAAATAATGTGTCTTGCCATGTACAGTCCAGTATGAAACCATGTTGATATATACTTCACCTTGTCTGCATGTAGGTTATATACCAGAAGAGACACGTGATCAGTCCAAGGATCATCTCCCATCACCTCCCTAGTGTATTGCTTTTGACCGTTAATCTTCACAGAGCACCAGTACGGGTCATCTGCCACAGACACAAGTCATGTGAAAGAGGTTCGAAACTACCCGAAAGTTACAATATAAAGGTGAAGGTAATATTTATATAAATATGCTGAGAGATCAAATAATCTTAGAAAATTTGCCTCACTTTTTTAATGTTTTTGTTTTGT